CCCATTCCTACTTCCAGAGGAAATCACTTTAAATGGTTTCACATGGAAATTTCTGCAAGTTTATTGTTTTTCTTACGAAATATTTTTTTTTCAGAGCTGGAGAGATGGCTCAGCAAGTGGTTAAGAGCACTGGCTGCTCTTTCAGAGGATCTGGGTTCAATTCCCAGCACCCACCTGGCAGCTCATAGTGTCTGTAACCCCAGTTCCAGGAGATCCAACACCCTCACACATACATACATGTAGGCAGAACACCAATGTACATAAAATAAAAAAATAAAGAAAAATTATTTATTTTCCTTATCTTTTTTTTTAGACAGGTCTTCTCTGTGTACCCCTGGCTGTCTTAGAACTTACTCTATAGACCAGACTGGCCTCAAAAGAAAAAAAAATTGAGACAGGATTTCTCTGTGTAACAGTACTGGCTATCCTGAAACTCGATTTGTACATCAGGCTGGCCTGAAACTCATAGAGAATCACCTGCCTGTGGTGACATATTGTGTACCCTAGTAAAATTTTCCTGAAGGTCAGAAGACAGAACAAGCCACCAGATTAAACATAGAAGCCAGGCAGTGGTGGCACACGCCTTTAATCCTAGCACTTGGGAAGCAGAGATCCATCTGGATCTCTGTGAGTTCAAAGCAACTCTGGACTACATGAGATTGATTCAGTCTAGAAGAGAAACAGAGTGAGGCAGTGGTGGCAGATAACTTTAACCCCAGTATTTGGGAATCACACCTTTAATCCCACCAAGAAAGGTATATAAGGCATGAGGAGACAGGAACTAGAAGCTTTTTCAGGCTGAGGAGTCCTAGAGGTAAGAGGTGGCTGTGGCTTGTTCCTTTGTCTCTCTGATCTTTCAGCATTTACCCCAATATCTGGCCCCGGGTTTTTTATCAAAAGATCTTTTAGAATTTGTGTTACATCTGCCTCTGCCTCCGCCTCCTAAGTGCTGGGATTAAATGAATGTGCCACTGTTGCCCAGCTGAAAGACAAGTTTTTAAATAAAGAAATGGAACTGTATTATATATATATATTTCTTTAAGTCACAATTCTCAACCTGTGGTCATACCCCATTGGGGTCACATATCAGATATCCTGCATATCAGATATTTGCATTATGATTCATAATAGTAGCAAAATTACAATTATGAAGTAGCAAGGAAGTAATTTTATGGCTGGGTCACCACAACATGAGGAACTGTGTTAAAGGGTCACAGCATTAGGAAGGTTGAGAACCACTAGTCTAAGTACTGATTTTCAACTAAAACTCTGATATGTCTTTCAATGCTAGTATGTGCTTTCTTTTGAATACCCTGAATCTCACTTTTAAAATTTCTTTTACAACTTCATGCATATGGGTGTTTGGCCTGCATGATGTCTGTGCACCACATGGATGCCCAATGCCTGTGAAGGCCAGAAGAGAGGGTCAGAAGGCCTGGAACTGGAGTTATCAGTTATGAGCCGCCATGTGGGTGCTAGGAATAAAACCTGAGACCTTTTAAGAGCAGTCAATGCTCTTAACCAATGAGTACTCTCTGCAGCTACCTGGAACCTCACTTTTTATAAAGACACAGCACACTTTAACCATTATCCAATGACAATGGTTAGCAATTACCCAGAAGACTATGTTCCCCATATTTTATTACACTGAGGGCTTCAGTAAACACTCTGAAAGGTTATCTGGCAATATGTAACAAGAGCCTTTAAAAGTTAGATTATTGCTGGGAAGTGGTGGCACATGCCTTTAATCCCAGCACTCAGGAGGCAGAGCCAGGTGGATCTCTGTGAGTTCAAGGCCAGCCTGGTCTACAGAGTGAGATCCAGGACAGGCACCAAAACTACACGGTGAAACCCTGTCTCGGAGGAAAAAAAAATATCCTTAACTCAGCAACTGTCTTTTCGAGATAATCTACGTATGTGTACATGTGTATCTGTGTAACTGCATGTGTGTATGGAGGTCAGAGGTCACCCTCAGGTAGTTCCTCAAGAGCCATCCTCATTTTCTGAGACAGGATGTCTCATTGGCCTGGAAGTTGGTAATTAGATGCTGGTGGCTAGCCAGAGAGCCCTGGGGATCTCCCATCTCTGCTTCCCCAGTGCCAGGATTCCAATGTAGACCGTGGTGCCTGGCTCTTCCTAGACTCCAGGGAACTCAAATCCTCATTTTGTAGGCATTTTAATGACGGCGCCATCTCCCCGACCCCAGAAATATTCTCTTTGGAAGCATGCAGTGCCACAGGGAAAGCTAGGCAACAAGCCTTACAAGGAAACCCATCAGACAGGTGTGGTAGCTCACACCTGTAATCTTGGCCGTGGGAATCTGAGGCAGGAGGGCTGCTACAAACCCACGGTCATCCTGCGCCGTACAATGAGACCAAGTCTTACAGCAAAACTAAATAATCTGGTGTCGATAAGAGAAATAGAAACTTTTAAAACACGGACTTTATCTCCTGAGTATGACTACAAGCCTAGGCTGCCCTGGACCTCACTCATTATGCCACCTAGGTTACCTCAGGCCACCATCTTGCCTCAGCCTTCCCAGTGCTAGAATTATGTCCTAACAGACAAACGCCCCACCTAAATCACTCATTTGCAGTCTCGGGTCCTCTTAATGTGCTAACTCTGTCAATCCTCACAAAGTCCCCTCTCACTTGGAAAGGAAACTCGGCAAAGATTTCATGTCATACCAGAAACACATGGAGAACCACCTCCAAGTCCGTTCTCTTCCTAACAAGCAAGCTTTCAAGAAAGAGCTGAAGCTGTTACTGTCGGGACTGTTTACATGTGGGAGTTGTTCCTTTGTGCTAGTTTGTACAAAGCCACGGTGACTTATCTTCTGGAATGGCAGGAGTGGGCATCCAAGTTCCAGCCCGTAACTGATCACACTTCTGCAGCTTGCAGACCCTAAGCTTCCACCAACAATGAAATCCTCTTACAGGTCACAGGAAACATTTCTTATTTCCTCCCAACTTTTCAGGGCTTCCCATCCTCAGAGCCTTTCTGTCTGCTTATGTACAGGTACTGGATATAGTTGTGGGCGATGCTGGGACCCCAGATCACCCTGCAACAGTCCCTCGAACCCTCTGCACAGTGGTCACAACACACTAGTGACTCCGAGGCAGTGGTATTTCGTGTTCCACAGCCAGAACCACTTACCAGTGGGGACAGCAAGGGCACACACAGTCTGTGAAGAGTTGTCAAAAGGAAAGGCAGTAACTCCAATTACACAAGAGTTACGATACTCTGATCTTCCTTATGCCATTTCTGCAGTCTCCTATGCTTCTTATTCATCTCCTGAGAAACTTGACAGTTTCCTTAATTATGAAAGTAACAACTGGAAACATCCTTTTAACTTGGGGAGAAGTTTGAGTATTTGTCCTCCAGTTTGTAATAGAACTGAACAGTCCCTCTAAGTGGTAAACAACGGAATCAGAGAAAGGTTTCACTGTTTCCAATGTATCAATAATTTGGGCTGGAAAGATGGTTCAGCTATTAAGAGCATGCACTGCTCTTACAGAGGACGAGAGTTCGATTCCCAGCCCCCTTATCTGGTTGTATTCCAGGTCTCAAGGACCTAATGCCCTCTTCTGGCCTCTATGGGTATCTGCACTCAAGTGGACATATTCTGATAGATACATAGATATATAATTTAATAATCTTTAAGAATTTTGCTATTAAAACTCTGGTGTGGGGCTGGAGAGATGGCTCAACAGTTAAGCACAGAGTCTTAACTTCCAGAGGACCTGGGTTTGATTCCAGCATGACACAGATGCTCACAATCATCTGTAACTCCAGTTCCAGGGGATCTAATGCCCTCTTCTGGCCCCAGTGGGCACTAGGCAAGAACACAGTGTACATACATACATGCAGGCACACACATACACAAACCTCTCTGCCATGATAATGCCGAGATAATCCGCATTCATTTCAGCTCCTGTTTTCCAGTCAGTGTAACTGCAGCCAGCAAAGTACTTGGACTTATCAGGAATTCAGATAGTATTAGATGCCTGAATAAGTTGTTTTGCTCAGTGGAAAAAAAAAATCACTTGGAGGAATCAATAAGGCTTGTTTTGTTCAACTCAGGGCTGTGTGAAGAGCTTTAGAAAGCAAACAAAGTAAGAGGCAAGGCCAGTAGTTAAACCTGGCATCATCTAACAGCTTTTCGGTGACTTTTCCAAGTGCAGCCTAGCCCAAGTACAATGCTTTCTATCTAGCAGACGTCCCAAAGCAACATCTGGTATCACATGTAGGCCGAAGGTTTGTCTGCTTCTGGAAGAGCCACTAAAAAACGAAGCAGAAGTTGACTGGCCCATTACAAACACCTCAAAGATCTGTCAGACTTTGGGATAAAGAGTCCAAGGAATGTGAAAATCCCTTTGTATTCTGTGAAACCACATACCCACACCACACTGACCAGACATTTAAGTATAAGAAGACTCGGAACACAATTGACTCAGAAGGGACCAGGCAGAAAGTACACACATAAATAAGCATGCCCACCACAAGAGAAGGCTCCTGAAAGCACCATGGGAACTCAAAGCGGAACCACCGCTTCTAGAAATAACACAGAACAGGTGTCTCTTTAGTCTAATCATTTCTAAAAGTGTATGCTAAAGATGGACAAAAAAAAAATTTTAATTCCGTATTATGTGATGTGAGTAACATTTAAGGACATATTGACTAAATCTTTTTAAAAACCAGCGTCTAGAAACGTGGCTTATCAAAAGATAGGGCAGAGGCAGAGCACCTTAAAATATCTGAATTCTTTTTATTTACTTATTTTTTGGTTTTGTTGTTTTCTGAGAGAGTCTTACTCTGGGGCCCAGGCTGGCCTCTACTTCGACAGTGCTGGGGAATGACAGGTATGTGCCACCACAACGGGCTAAAACACCCAAATGCCCTTCCCATCCTGGAGGCTCAGCAACAGCTCTTCACCAAACTGTTCTGGCCACGCTTGAAGCACCACCACCCCCCCTTCTGAAAGACACCGCCTGACCTTAAGGCATCCAAATGGCCTTTAAAGAACTTCGACTCGCCATATGCCAACTGCCCCCACTACCTCTTTCATAAGACACGAAGTACATAGAGAAAGGTTGGGCAAGAATGTCGGTCGATCTCCCAACAGGGGACAGACACTGTGGGGACATGATGTCTGTTAGGAGTGCACTACATTTGATTACAACTCTAACCTGACCATCAACTTCCAACTTCCAGTGCCTGTGCCCTGGATCTGTTGTGTTGTTTACTGCCTAGACTGGATGATGGGTTTGATGTGAGGGGATGTGCTGGGCACTCGATCCATTTAACACAAGAAACAGCACTTGAAAAGCCCCGGGTATGGTGGCCTACGCCTGTCATCCCAGAACTTGGGAGGTGGAAGGCAGGAAGATCAGAGCATCATCAGCTAAGTTCGAGGCCAGCGTGGGCTACACGAAACTGTCTCAAAAAAGAAAAAGTAGTACAATAAAATAATTCAAGGTTAACACCAGGAATGAAAAACTCACTTAA